GTCATGAGGCAGCTTCACAGGCAACAGCTGTGGGCAACCGAAGTGTTCGCTGGAGCAGGAAGTGGCGCTGTCAAGGCACGTGGGCCTGAGCCCCTCTTTCTAACTGGCGTTCCAGCACCCTGCTGTGGGGGGGTGCCTGGCCCTGCGTGTAGAGGGTAGAGGAGGCCTTCCCTTGCTAGCCCAACGAAGAATGCTGTGGAGTTGAGAAAAAGCTGGAACAGTGACCGTGGGGCCCTGGAAATAAGCTGCAGTAGGAGGGTGAGAAAAACATGGGGCCCGGGTCTATATTTAGGGACCGAGATGGGTGGGCAGGGCGGGACACAGGGAGGGGCCTGAACTTTGCGGGTGCTCTGAATACCGCACCCGTTTGGTCCTGATAGCAGCCAGGGACGGAGAACAGTCCTGTCTGCTTTAGCAGTAAGGCAACAGGTTCCAGAATATCCATGACTTGCCCAGCCACCCCCTAAGAATAGCTGGAATTCAGACCCCATCCAATGTGGGTTCCCCCCACTGAACACCCCCCTATCCCCCACCCCCCACTGAACCCGGGGGAGCTAGTATAAAAGCGCTCAGCTTTCAGGAAGTGAGTCATAGAGTCTGTGAAACACCCACTTACCTGGTTTTTGTTTCTCCTGAAGTTATTAGCTAGAATGTGGGGGAGGCAACCACAGCCGAGGGAGTTTTATCTCTGCTCTGGCTGACTTTGCCCTTCCCAGCTGCTCCCAACGGCCCAGCTCCCTCATGATAGGACTTGAATCCTATTTGCAAAATTGCTCCCTGCCTTCCAGATAGGAATAACAGTCCAGTAAGTCACTGCCCTCTCTCTCACACAGTTGTACTTGGAAAAGCAGAGAGAAGGCAGTCTGGTATGTGGCTGCCTTATCCAGGGAAGGAGGCTATTAAAACATGATTCCCTAGCTTGAAACATCAAGCTCACATTCTTCTTATTTATTTTTCTTTTTTAAGGCAACCCATGGGAAATCTTCCTCAGACATAGCTTTGGGGCGAGTGGGAGGGCTGAACTGAGACTAGAGCTGGTGCTGCTGGGAAGGCCCTGGGAGGAGGGGTGCTAGGGTGAGCTGAGGTGGGAGCAGAGCTCCCAAGGAGGCGGTGGAGAGGGCCCTGGCTTTTTCAGCGGGGTGGCTCAGCTCACTCGGGGCAGAGGGAGCCTGCCTGGCCTGTGGAATTCCACCTTTGACAGTGGTTCCTCAGCAGAGGACTCTGAGCGCCCTGAAGGTCTGGAAGGGGACTGGCAAGGCAGAAAGCGGAGGGAGAAGCTTGGAGTCCCCCGCAGTCCCAGTCTGCAGGGCTGACTAGCTGGGAAAAAGAGCCCCGAGGAGGGCAGGGTGGGGTTGCAGGCGGAGACTGCCTAGGCGCCCTCGACACTGGCAGCGTCGTGATTCATCCAGCGCAGCGGCGTGCCCAGCGTGAGTGGCTCCTGAGATGCTGTCAAGTGGAGTACGAAACCCAGAAGGAGACAAGATTGCACTTACTGGGGAACCAGCGTCCTGAGGTCCAGAGTGGCAGGAAGCAGATGGCCCTTCCGCTGGGGTGGGAGTGTGTGGGGGGAGATAGGTGCCAGTGTTTACGGGGCCTTTCAGTTGGGAGGGTGGGAACGTGCTGGAGGTGCTTGGTGCTGACGGTCGCCTCTGAGGACTTCAGGCCTCCGAGGGGTACACTCAAAAACGGTTCAAGTGGTCAACTTTAGCTATGTGTCTTTCACCACACAAAAAAGAAATGAATAGTCTTTCAACTTAACTTCCAGTTCACAATAAGCACGGGGTAGAAAAGGGGGTCGGATGACACTAGGAAGGCACAGTCTGGCCTTCTGCTGCAGAAGTGCAAAATGCGGAAGTGGGCTGTTTTAGGAAGAAACTGGCTTGAATTTCAAAAAGCCAAGGGGGGAGGGGAGGTGGTGTGTGTGTGGGAGAAGGTAGGAGTTCTCATTAGGAGACCGAAGAGATGACCAAAGCCCACAAGGAACAGAAACAGAACTGTAAAAAAAGTCATCCTTGAACAGCTGGGCAAATGGGGTTCAGCCACCGGGTGCTGACTGAGAACCTGTGTCCTTGGGTGGAAATGAGCAGGCGCCCCTGAAATGAGCTGAAGAGGGAGTGAAGGCTCAGGATGCCTGCAACCCACTTTCAGACAAACCAAAAGCCTCAGGCACCCGAGAGGAGGACAAAGCAAATGCAGACAGTGGGGCCTACAGGTGGACTACCTGCAGGATTCTTGCCATTCTTCTGTGCTGAAAACACTGAAAACCAGGCAGCCAGAGCCCTGTGGCCTCGGGCACAGTCCTTGCTCTCCGGCCAGAACCCTCCGTCCCCCCTCCTGCCTGGGTCAAGGTGTCAACCGCCTGGCCGGCTGCCAGGGGTCCCGTCCCACCGCCGCTGAGAAGGGCCTTCCCTGGCCGGGTCTAGCCGCCCGAGCCACCCCTGGCCCCTGGTCCCCGGCCCGGCCTCCAGGGGCGTGGCTCCGCCCGGGAGGGGCGGGGCGGGGCGGGCGGGCGCGCCGGGACCGCCCGAGCCTTTCTCCGGACGCAGAGCCGAACGGCTGTCAAAAACGCGCGCGCGAAATTAAAGGCCTCGGGGCTCCAACCAGGGTTTTGGCGCACTGCGGCGGCGTCCTCGACTCGGTGATTGGGCCGCGCGGCCGTCCCGAGGGCCCGGGAGGAGGGGGAACCTGTTCGGGCGGCCAATCCGGCGAGGCCAGGCAGCGTTTTGCGCCCGATTCCTTCTGAATCGAAAAGCCGGGGCAGGACCGGCCCGGACGCGCCCCTGCAGCACCGACGGGCGGGGGCCCTGCTGGTGTTCCCGAGTTTTGTGCAAATGTGCTATTTGGGTAGTGAGGAAAAAGCTCACGTGGAAAAGAAGCCATTGTTTCTGACTCGTTCCCCAGGAGTTCCACACGGTGCTGGGGCAGCCCAAAGGAGCACTGAGGGAACGATTAGACAGCCTGGAAGGGAACTGATAGCAGGGACACCAAGGAACCACGGAACATGCTAGATGTGACCTTGGCATTCCGCCCATAAGGTCATCAATGCACAATTCATTTTTCTGCAGCTGGCTGGCTGCTGAAGGGGAAATTGAGTCTGGGAATGCTGTGACACGAAAGTCACACCCAAGTTCTAGCTGCTGCTTTGTCTACATTGGCTGTGAGTCTGGGATCGGTCTGGGGCCGGTCTCACCCGCCATACCTTTCATGGAGCATCTGTTAATAGACATGCCTTTGAGGGCAGGGTTCCTCCTGGGTCAGCTCTTAAGTGTTGGCAGCTGACCATTTGCTCTCCTGGATTTTAACGTTTCTTTTTTCTCTTCATTTCTGACTTCTGGCCATTTGCCCGGCAAATATCTACTCAAATCTGAAAAACTACATACCTAGTCAAACTCAACTGTTGCCAAGTTCCTGTCTGCATCCTCGCCCCAAAGATGCCTAACCCCCCTTTGGGCTTCTGCAATATCCCAGAGTAGGACGTGAAAGCCCAGTCCTTCCATCACTCTGAAGTGTGTCTGAGGAGTTCTGGCGGAGGCAGGAGGCCAGTTTCACAGCTATGTTGACAGAGACCAGGGGTCGCCGGCCGATTAGGTTCACCTGGGGGTTTACAGAGACAGCGCCTTGCAAAGGACTTTCGCTTTTCATTTTTTATTAAATAATAAATCCACGCACCAGAACATTTTTTTGGAGCCATCGCACATGCTAGGTACAAGCCCCACTTCCCCTAGGAGGGCAGTCTCCAGTCGGGCGACCTGGCATTGCGAGCCCCAGGAGCCAGGGCCCTAAGGACTGGGCGGCTCGGTGGCCGCCGAGCCGCCAGTCTGCGCGCTCTCGGGGGCCGGGCACCCCAGTCCACGTACCTAACGGCCGCCGCGGGAGTTTCCCTGCGGCCCGATGACCCCAGGCGGCGGCACCTCCCGGCCGAACCGGCAGGCACGCCCCACGGCGAGGAGGGGCCAGCGGGCGGGGCCTTTCAATTCCAAACGGTCGAGCGCGTGCGCGCCAAGGC